CTCATCCATTTTTTCTTGTTTGATTAGAAATACATGTTTCAATGCTTCATTAACAATTTTTTTTTCCCCTTAAAAATCAGGTGGCCATATCCATTTCTTGATTTATCATCTTCATATGCACCATTATGGTAATTCACTGCATTTTTCTCTGTACTATCAGAATTTTTTGCCTGAGAATTTTATCTTCTTAACCTTACAAATTCATTTGAGTCGAAAAATTTCAATCGATAATTTGCAGGTATTCAACTGTGGCGTTGATGCACATACCGTGCTATGGAATTTTTTTACTAATAATGAAGGCAAAGCATTTTTTGCTGTCAAAATGGTTCCCTCAGTCTTATAGGTTTGTACAGTAATTTATCCCTGAAAGATCATAAGAAGTTTTGCAAAAGGGAAAAAACAAACTGCTCGATTTTCTGTGCTCGGTTCGACTTTTGTAAGGAAAAATGGTGAAAGGGGTTCTGACTTGGAGCTATTTGCACAATCATATTGTGAGAGATGTGAACTGTAAAATCAGTAGTTGAAAAGCTATAGTTGTAACTACATAAATATATAGATTTGAAAAAATATATATATATTGATTCTTTTCTCCAATCTTTTCTATTGTATCATGATGTCAAATGGCATGCTGTTTTTCTGCTGTACCATGTTCTGGAAGTTTTAATTTTAAGAGAGTTACAAAAGAGAATCCTGAGATTTAGCTCAATGTACAGATTTCTGTAGTGATATTTCAAAATTACATCTATCAACAGAGTACCACAATTTATAAAAATTTCCAAGCTCGATCTTGAGCCCTTATTGAACTGAGCTGAGCTTATTAACAAAACAAGCCGATAAACAAGCTCAAGCTCGGCTCGTTTATCAAATAAACCGAACTGAGCCCACGAGCGACTAATTTCGTTTAACAGCTCTAAACACACACCATTGAAATTTGCAATCACCTAACAGATGCACAATGTTATTTGATAATATTCAACTCCAGGGGCTCTTTTTGTAATTAACCCCATTTTTCATATCATCACTCTTGGAATAACTTTCTGGAAAATTATCAACTCCTCAACAGTACACTTACATACAATATCAATATGAAGCATATATAGAGTGAACACAAATTGCATCAATATCACCCCTATTCCCAAAAACTACATTACAAATTGAATACATTTGGTATTTTGGAAAATCCAAAATCACACTATATAACAAAAGAATATACTCAAAGGCTTTCCACAAGAATAACAAACAAAAACGAGACATGAAATATCAAGAAGTTCGAACCCTTGAGTATAACAATAGCTCCATTTGCCAACACAGAAAACGAGAAGCCCACTGGTGAATTCAGAGGGAGTTGTTTGGAATGGAACCCATTAGAATAACATTGTCCACACGTCTCGTTTCTTGTTTTCTGGGAATTTGAGACTTTCCTGGCATTACTTTGGAGAATAAATCAGCAAGAAGCCCAGTCGTGCTATTTTCTGCCGTTCTTTTCTCAATTAAATTCAAGTTACTGTTCAAACTATTACTGGAACCTTGCTTCGTATGCTCGTGCTTGAAACGAGCACCACAAGAACAGAAAGCCAGTTTATCGAAACAATTTTTGTGGAAAACCAGTTCACAGGATTTACATTTTTCGACCTCTTCGTCCTGTCGAATTCAATATTTTATATGTTAGCCAAATTTCTCTACCGTACAGAATTATTCAACACGCTACACAGTATTCCCTGATATTTTTTTGGTTTTCTTGGTCTCTCCTGAAAGAGAAAGAGTGAAAGGTATAATAAAGAAAAACTATAACCACCAACCTGAAAAGGAAAAATTAGAGAAAGTGGATTGTTACAGTCCTTTCGAGCACTGCATGGAATACCGGCATCATAGCATACGAGGCACTGCTCAGTGATGTGTTCCTGGATTTTTCGAGATACAGTTTCAACCATCACTGGTAGTGCTGTAATAGAAAAAAAGTCAAAAATTATGATGAATCGAGATATAGAAGAGTTTCTATGTTAAAACTGAGAGATTGACGGACAAGATGACATAAATTAACATTATACAAAACCATACAGAGAAAATATTATTTGACGGGCTTATTCTTAGGGACCATCGTAACGTCTTTTAATGGTTGAAAACAGATCTAAATTTCGTGTCTTGAAATAAAGGACTAAATTTGGGAAAGCCGATTATTCTGACTTCCCTACATCTTCTTATTGCCAAAAGATATCAACCTCATAGCATGAAAATTGAAGGGATCGTTCTGTGTTACTATAGCCGAAGAACATAACCTTATACATGCTAAAGTGCAGTCCAAATAAACCAAATGCCCAATTTCCTATTATAAAAATAAAAAAATAAAAAGTTGAAAACCAAAGCATATTATTTCGACTTTCACCTGAAAACACTCCATTAGAGAGACTGGTGAGGTCTTTCAGTGCGAAAAAATCATTGCTGTCCAGAAGATAACTACGAGGCCCGAGACCTTTATGGATGGACCTACGAAACGGGCAACGAACATAAGGAAGCATTGCTCTTATTCTACTTCGGATATTCGCCACATGCTGCAAAGTCGGAACTTTTGTAAATAGGAACGGGTTAACGGCACTGACACAAAGCATTGGCTGCAAGAGAAATGATGGGGAAAAAAAAATAGAACAAGAAATATATTACTAGGAAGGTATTTGAGAAAAGTATTCAACATATATTATTATTGTATTAAACTAACCTGGTCATTAATAGAATCCAAAAACGACTTAGCCATTTGAGAAACTGGATACCGAGTAAAATCCCAATGATGAAGAACTCTAGCAGGCAAAACAGCAGTATCATTATTATGACACGACGGGCAGAAAAGCTGGCCACTGTATTCACAAAGACGGGGTTTACCCCAACCTAACGCTTGCAAGACAGTTGTTCTTCCATCATCAAAATTTCTATGACAACCCGCACACCTATAATGTTGAGCATCTAGCATCTGTTTAATCGACTTCAAAGGCCTTTTTTCAACAACAAGCGATATAGTCTTTCCCAAACCTTCGACATGCATGCTTCTGTTACATATATTTGTATGAGGAGAACCTGGCTCTGCTTCTGATAGGGAGAGGAAAGAAATAAGTGCATTATGCGAAATCGAATTGAATTTAGGGTGGATTACTGATTGTAAACATTCTTGGATAAGTACACTCCTATCGGCTACTACGTTTGGAGAAGCATTGCCGAAAAGCTTTCTGGATTCCTTTTCTACATGAGACCAAGGTGAAGGAAGGGTCCACCCGTGGCCGTCAAATAGTTTCTTCAAACGATGGTAAAGAGTACTAAATTCACGATAACGGCGTTCGATTTCCCAATGGTCCTCCCCACTCCAAACTCTTACTTTGTACACTGTGTATTTTTGCACGCCGACTAAACGCTCACTAAATGAAACGTCTCCTTTTCTTTGACTTGTGCCCACTACCTCGATTTTATCGATTTTAGGAGGTTGATGAATGAAATTGTGAGCGTAATCCGTGCCGGATGTTGAAGCAGTGGAGCCCCCGTCTCTCGAAGGGTGAGAAAAATGGGATTGGTATATTGTAGCACTATGGGTAAATCTAGATCTAGAGGGCTCACCAGAGTCGAGCAGTATATCTTCCATTTCGTTAACGATTTCATCATAGAAATCATTCAACTCGAAATTCATTTTCTGTAAGACAATTAAACGATGACTTGATTAATGAAAAAATGCTTTTCATCATTGAGAGAGTAACCATCCACCACATATATTTAAGAAAATACATGAAGCTAAAATACCTTATCCGGCACAAAATGATCATCAGCTTGATCGAATGCAAAAGAATAGTTCTTCTCTGCCACGGCACTTCTCGAGGTATCAGCAAAATGGTCTGGTTCATTATCATTTGCTCGAATCAGATGATGATGATTGGCCTCAGATTCAGATAGAGAGGCCAATTCTTTGTTTTTAACCTCGGAACTCTTATTGTTCGACACAATATCACAACGATGCATGATCTCGACAGTAGTTCTGTCTTCAATTTTCACTTTGCATTCACTTTCACCAATGTTCACTTTGGTTTCGCTTTCGCCAATTTTCAGCTTCTCTTTTTGCGATACTTCGTTTCCCACAGGATCTTCATTCCTTTCAAACAAACTGTAACCAGAAGTAGGACCAAGATAATCAGCCAATTCATCCATATCATTTGCTTCATTACTCAAAGCAACCACTCTTTCAGCATCCTCAGATCGCACACCAAATTTCATAAGATTGGTTGATTTTGTAAACGGAGCATTCACATCTGTCTCAGATGTACAATCAGCCTCACTTTTCCTTCGTTTGACTGTATCACGATGTGTTACACGATTATCTGTCATAAACCCTAAAGACCCAATACCACTTCGAATGTTGGCCTCTTTTTCAGTTCGGATTTTATCCAAGCCCATTGAACCAATCGTACTTTCCCTGTTTTCATTAACAAAATCGTCCCAATCGTCCGAGCCAAAGGCCACCGCTGAATTCATAACCAGCCGATTTTCTCTTCTCTCACTTTCTCCATCAAAAAGAGGAGCTTTCTTGTTATAATATGGACCAATCTTGTTCTCTCCATCACTACCACATCCAAACATCGAGTCCTCACCTTCCGAGTGCTCATACCTTGACGAAATTTCACCTTCATCTGATGAGTTCTTGATTTCATCACTATTGTTAACATCACCAACTACCGGAAAATCATCCGAATTCTGAACACTCGCCCCACCAATAGTCTCGTTTTCATTCCCAATCAAAACCCCATTTCCCCATCGACCACCGACATCAAAACCTTCCATTTTGCCATTCAAATTCGATTCACCACAGCTCGATAACACCCTATCCGCCTCACGCTGAGTATTAGCATTTTCTTCCCCGAGTCTGAAGCCCCTCAACGGCCCGAAATCCGGGTCCCCGTACGAGCTGCCCCGGAAGCTGGGGGTACCCATGGCCGAGCTGGCGCTGCAGTACCTGTCGAACTCCGATTCACCGCCGCAGGAGGAGTAGTGCGAAAGATCGTCCCCGCCGTCCGATTCCCGATCCCACGACGGCGGCGGTGGCTTCTCCTCCGCCGGCTCTCCTTTTATCATCACGATCAAAACCTCACCACTGAAGGATAACTGGAAATAGATCGCCAATTTGAAGCCTTTGCATTTCCAGTGAATCAGCAAACACACACACACACCACAGAGAGAGAGAAAGAGAGAGCAGGGATTCGACTTTCAAGTAGAGAGAATGAACGAGTAATTTCAATTTCTAATTACTTTTGTTGCCATATGTATGTATGTGTTTGGTTTTTCTGGCCGAAAATGCTCTTTGGTGAAATAAATCTTTGTTCGACTATTTTCCATGTTGTTTTCAACTTTTTGTTTATGTGATAATTATTGCCTTATTAAGAAATAAATAACTTTTTGGAGTCTCTCTGTAGAACCCGTCAGTCAAAATCCCTAGAACCCAGTCGCAACTTCCTCCATCTTCCGAGTAGCCCTAGCTAAAAATATAAAAATTATTTCAGTATTTTGTATCCAATATATCTCCCTTTAAATGCCCAAACTTGGATCGGTCACATAAATAATCTCACCGTGGAACCCTTGCTAAAACCCACTCAACAATCAAAATGTCGCTCTTTTGCCACCTACTCCGGCGACGGCCTACCAATCTCGCCGTCACCCGCCACTTCTCTACCAACACCAACGTCACATCGGAATCTCCATCATCCCGTCGTAACCACCACGAATTTCTTCCCCCGAGCTCTTACATAAACTCTTGGAAACCTCCGCGTAACCCTAAGGAGGCCGCCGCGCAGCTGGCCTTCCTCCGCCGCGATTACGATCGGAAGTTCAAGCAAATCCGGAAGGGTTACATTCAGGAAATGGAATTGCAGAGGATCGAGAAACTGCGAAGGGACGAGGCGAGAAAGGAAGCCCTGAGGATTGCTAACGAGGAGAGGAAGGCCGCCAAAGCCGCCAAGAAGAAGGCGGAGGCTATCGAGAGGCAGGCTGCTGAGGAAGAGTTCCGCGAGATGCTGGTAAGATAAATTACTTCTATGCCCTTGAGGATTCTCCATCTTGTTTCTGATTACCCCAGTTATTTTCCTTTAGTTTGTTCTCTCTGTGTATTTGTGTGATTGATTTAATGTTGTTTGTATTGTGCGGGAAAAGGGTGAAATTATATAAGCATTTAACTTTCCTATAATTTTTATGCGTGTTCTTATGTCAGATGTTCCTCTGTATTGTGCAATAGAAAATCAGAGGAATCGAGTCAGCTACATAACTTGGCCTTAGTTAAATGACTACTGAGTTTGGGCACTCTTACAGATAATTATGGACCAACATTTTCATGGAAATGTTTGACTCCCATCAATGATCTCCTTTGCTTTATTAACAAGTTTTTTTAAATTTATTATGTTAACTAAGAAATTCATCTGTATGGAATTTTGTACTAGTATTGAGTAGTAAGAATAAAACTTAGCTGAGAATTTGCAAGCATAGATGGTTTTAACTTCTACGCATTGAGATGTATCTTCTTGAAGTTTATGCAAATTTGTACTTTACATATTTGGTCATACTAAATAGTTGCAACAGCTATATCTTACTTGGAAATCCAAGATTGGCAAAGATTCTTATTCCCATTACATATTTGATTCAGTTGATGCTAAATTCTTGTTTGTATCAAAGCTAATGCTTTTATACATTTGACTTTCCTAGCCTTGGTTGCACTGGATTTTTGGTTGTATGTAAGCGTTCTTTTTCCTTTTAGTTTTTCCTTCTCTGTCCTTTCCTTATTTAGACGATGATAATATGAGTTGTAGTGTTATGTTTGACATTTGCTTGTGTGCTTGATATATATTGGTTGCCAATTGAAATTCCATCATGAT